GTGTTAATCACCCCATAGTCTATTGAGAATATTTTTCTTCAAATAGCCATATCTTTTAAACCGCAACTCCAATTTTAACATGTTATATATGAAATTTGATTAGAAAAATGTGCAGAATTTGAATATGATGTTATTTTACATGTCCAATATTTTTAAAATGCTATTTATATTGCAAAATTAATCAATGGTGCATAATCCGTCTATATTTCATACCGACGATCTGTATTGCAACATGTAAAATTAAACGTTAATATTTGGGAAAGGTTATAATCCTTTAGCACGTTGTACTTGCACAAGATCCTCTCTTTGTACATGTTTCATGATCTAAGACCCTACGTACATACCTTTTTTTGGGCGAAATCCACGTGTGTACTTACCAACGGACTACACAATTTTTTGTAGTGAATACACAAACATTTTTATAGGATATACATACACTTATAAAATAAAATGTTTAACAAATCAAAAAAAATTTGTGGGTTCAAAAGATCTTCGTGATTTTATAAAAAAGTTTTCTTATTCTAAAAATGTTTGAAATTTTGAAGACAAATGTTTGGGAAGTAAAAAAGTGTTCATGATTTTAAAAATCTCGTTTATTAAAAAATGTTAATGAAATTGAACAAAATTTTGTCAATTCAAAGAAAGTTCATGAATGAAAAATATCCTAAATAATCAAAAACAGTTGGTGACTTACAAAGTAGTTTATTTATTCATAAAATGTTTGCTGATTCGGAAAGTGATCATGCATTTAAAAAAATCTTTGTTAAATAAAAAAACATTCGTGAAAATTTGAAAAATTGTTTCAGCAATTTCCAAAATAATGTTCGTCCATCCTAGAAATGTTCGCCGATTCAAGCAAATTGTTAAAAAAAATATTCACAACTTTAAAATATATGCTTACAAAAAGTATAAAATGTTCATGTATTCAAAAAATGTTCATGATAAAATGTTTGAAACTTTGTAAAAGTGTTCATGAATTTGAAAATTGTTCATGATTTCAAATATGTTCATGAGTTTAAAAAATTGATTATGATTTCATGAAATTGACAGTGATAGTGTATCTCGGTGGCGCAGCAAATGTGATCATGGTCATTGGAGATTATGATATTTTTTCCTCCCATTGCAACGCATGGGCCCATACAAAATTTATTCGAACTCAGAATCATTCAGTTTTTGCATTCTAACAATTAGGATGGAAATATTTCTATGAGGATTCAGACATTTGTCTTGGCAACACTTAACCCACTCCAGCATACGAGCCACAACCCAAAAATCACAGCACCCAATCGGATGATGACGACGTGTAAGCACCACCACAACAGCACCGGCCCTCTCAATCTCAAACAAAGAAGGAAAAGGAACACACCAATCCGGATGGAGATAACCGTAGTAGCCGAAACAGGAAGAATACCGAGACAGACGGCCCGCATAGCGATGGCGGCAGTCGCCTCCAGCTGCAGCAGGAAGATAAGAGTCGTATGCACCGCGCGCACCACAAAATTCTCAGCCGCCGACCACCTCAGCACGCCCTGACCAGAGTCGCAGCAGGCGGCGCAAGGGACACGCACGCTGGAGAGAAGGCGATGAGAGGAGAACGCGCATGTAGCTAATGGCGGCGGGAGGAGCTGTGGCCTCTGGGGAGAATCGGAGGCAGCGCCGGCGTTCAATCCTAGGGTTTGCGGGGGCGTCGGCTCGATTGGTTCGTTGGCAAAAGATAGCCCCGAATGTTGCTAGAATCGGATCTGGATGGGGGCGGCGACAAGGTGATGCGGTGGTGGAGGAGATGGCCGGTGGCGGCCAGAGCTGAGCGAGCAGCGGGCAGAGACTCAGGCAGGAAGAAAATGTTGGAGGAATAAGAGAGAGACTGGTTCACGGGGATGTGTGGGGTAGCGATGGAAAAAAGGCAAACCGGCTATACCTGAAAACTGGGGCAACGGGACAGCTACACATTTGCTTGCCGAACGATCCCTCGCAAGCCACAATTCACCAGGACTAGCTAGCTTTGAAGTATGTTGGCCTAAGCCATTTTGTTTTATGGGTTTGTATTTATATTCAATATATGAAAGTAACATTGATCGGCCTGTACGAAGGAGATACAATATGCTCAAAATTCAATTTTATAATTAAAAAATGTAAATACATTTGCAGTATTTTTCAATATATAAAACTAGACTAAAGGTGGACGAACGACAGTGGTATTTTATTAAGAGAGTGGTGAGGCTTGAACTTGGGAGGCCTAGCACACCAGCTCATGTGCTTGACAGTAAGCCCCCAAGTCTTTCTTGTATTTTTCAATATATAGATTGACAATACCAAAAGTGAAAATCACATAGTGTCGTGGTACTACGATCCGATCCAGCAGCTGACAAGAAAATGATACAAGAAACTGAGAGACACACGGGCAGGTGAATATCTTCTGCTCAGGTGAATATCTTGCGCAGACGATCTACTGAATAGGCGAACGACGTCACAGTCTCCTCAAGGCAGCGGTTCTTCTCTTCCCGGGTCCAGCTCTGACCATAGATGTGATCGGGTTAAGACACTGTGAGACACACGGGCAAAAAAAAAAAGAGCACGAAATCTAAGCTTTTGGACTTACAGAAGCAACTTGGTTAAGTTTTGTGCGGACATTCTGCAGCAGCTCGGACAGGGTACCTTCCCACTTGTAGAATTCCAGCTCTTTCTTGTTCAGAATCTTGTCAGCAATCTGACATGAATAGAGGGCATGATTACTAGGTTAAATGATACTCCCTCCGTCCCAAAATATAGAGTATTTAATCAAAAACTATCACATTTCATGGAAACGTGACAGAAAACTACCACTTTACGATTTTGTGCGGCACTTTTGTTTTAATCCGTAGCAAAAAACTACCAAGTCTCGAAACCGGCCGCTTCGCCCGCGCTAAGCATCAAACTGACCAGCCGGTCCCAAGTTTCAGGTGCCACGGTGGCCAACCGACGCCCGCCGCGCGTTAACGGCCGTTAACGGCGCATCCGCGGCCGGAAACGGCGTCGTCAGAGGATCAACATCAAATGGCCGGTCCCACGGTTTGGTGCATTGAACGCAAACCGACAGCCGCCGTTTCCGACCGCGGGCGCGCCGTTAACGGCTGTTAACGCGCGGCGGGCGTCGGTTGACCACCATGGCACCTGAAACGTGGGACCGGCTGGTCAGTTTGGTGTTTAGCGCGGGCAAAGCGACCGGTTTCGAGACTTGATAGTTTTTTGTCACGGATTAGGACAAAAGTGGTAGTTTTCCGCATAAAATCATAAAGTGGTAGTTTCTGTCACGTTTCCGTGAAATGTGATAGTTTTTGGTTAAATACTCCAAAATATAAGAACATTTTTGACATTTTTGACACTAGCATAGTGTCAAAAACATTCTTATATTTTGGAACGGAGGGAGTATTCATCAATGGAGGAACAGGTAACTCTCGCTCACACCACACTGACAGAATACAGTCTGCCATGATGCCCTGATTTGCATTGGATAAGTAAATATAAGGATTCATGCCACAACGAAATGGCCAGCTATAGAATGAATGTAGAACTATTTACATAGCAGAAGAACGAGATATGAAACAGATCCGTATATAAAGTGACCCTCAACGGAGTGCATAAAGTAATAGCATGCATACTATCTTCTTTTGGAATTTGAATCAGCAAAACAAGAAGATTGAGAAGAACCAGTGCCAACAACACATTGTTAACAACAACATGGGAAGCCATTCAAACACACACACTATTTTACATCACATGAACGTTTTGGTATAAGGTTTTGTGCTGAAAAGTGGTACCTTTTTGCCGGTCAGTCGACCTCCAGCAGATTGACCAAAGTACATATTATAGAAGTGACAGAAAAATGCTTGCTGGTCCTTCTCAGACAACTCTTCCAGATAAGAAGCATATTTAGTGTCTGAAGCAGATGGTTCTGGAATTGTGTGACCCTGTTCGCTGAACCATTTCAGATCTTTCTTCAGTGCCTCTGATCTCTCTAACCCAGTATTCTGAAACTCCGCATCTGATAGGCATAGATAACTAGAATGTCAATCAGCAGCATCTAGCTAACAATGATGAAAGAAATGTTCCAGCTCTTACGGCAGGAAAAGGTAGGTAATCTGTCACATAACCACTATGAGATTCCAGTAATTACGCCATTTATTGTTCTATAAGCAGAAATCGAGCCAGCTCGGCTCGACTCGCTAAAGCTCGTTTCGTTAACGAGCTAACTCGACTCGACTCGTTACTAAAACAAGCTCGAATCCAAGATTGGCTCGACTCGTACAACTTGCGAGCTGGCTCGTTTAGCTTGTTAAGCTCGTTAATGATATGAACATAAAAGCTTACGAATATGATCAAAATGATTACTTGGGAATTTAAAATGTACATATTAAACATGTACAATGTTCATAAACAATTGTAATCATGTGCCAACTTAACTTACAATTGTCAGTACCATCAAGTCAGTACCATGTACATGACCATTGACCACAACCAATTGTACATGACCACAATCATCAGCAAGTTAGTAACATATACATGACCAAATAATTGTAATTTCCTCGAACGTCTAGGCGTTGTGTTGTGCACCTGGGACGCAGGGTGCTTCGCTGATCTTTTGTACTGAGCCTAACGAGTTACATGAGTACTTGTGAGATCGGCTCGTTTAACTCGTTCTATAAACGATCTTAAACCAAAGCTTGACTCGACTCGTTATTCTTCGAGTTTGAATTGATTCGAGTTGAGTCACGAGCTACTCGTTTAGTTCGCGAGCATCGAGCTTTTTTTCCAGCTCTAAGCAGAATAAACAAAGTACATGCATTGAGTTAAACTTTCCAGTTCCAACTACGGCGTTTCCTCATCTTGCTCCTTTTAGCTCCAGCTTGGTAAATTTTCTTGCAGCTTTTCAATCATTCATCTTATTGTCTCGTGCTTACCATCTCATGCTAATTCTTTTTCCATGCTTGTAGGTTCACCCATCGGTTGGATCCAACAATGTGCCGCTCAACCCCGGTTCTTCTAAAAATCTGCAAGAAAGCCCAGTGACGCCTACTACGGTTCTCAGCCTCCGCCTCAGCACCACACTTCGAATATTAGGAGGGCACTGTGACTCCAGGCGAGTTCTCCTAGTGTTGTGCTACTCATGCTTGTGGGTCTTTAATCCATAGATAGCAATCTTTAATAATTTGGGAAATTTTGGAACTTATGAATTATTCATATTGCTATTGTGCAAACCATATGACTACACTTGTCAAAATTTAGAAGTTGTCAAAATCATGTGAGTACACGGTAAAAATCATGTGACCGTTCTCCTATGTTTAGTCTTTTAACTTGTACGAATTTCAACTTGCAAAAAAATCATGTTTAGTCTTTTAATTTGTACATATTTGGAACTTGTGGAAATCAGGTGGGCACACTTGTAAAATTCTATAACTTGTCAAAATCTATAATTGTATAATTCATACATTTGCTTTCATATTTGTAGTATCGCATCATGGACGCCTTCGTCTTTGTGTAGTACTTGTGTTTGATGGATTTGTGATCTTCATGTTTCATGGACAAGTGATTTCAACTTGTTTGATGAATTTGTACATGTTTGGGTACTTTGGAACTCGATGGACTACTTGTGCTTTGGAACTTGATGGATTTGTGCTAGATATGTGTGTGCTCTATATATGTTTCTGCTTCTTTTCAGAATGGTAGAATATATTTATTGTGCTGAATTGCAGGGATTTGAAACAAAACAGCTAAAAAATAAAAATAAAACTGGGGCCTTTACCGAGTGTTACACTCAGTCAAGGTGCCACATGGCAGAATCTAGTAGCATCTGGGCGCCTCTCTGACAAAATGGTCAGGCCGGCAATCGTTGTCGAGTGTATTCCGAAATACTCGGCAAAATTTTCACAAAATACACTCGGCAAATAGTCCAGAACCGCCGTGTATTTTGAAAATACACACTGTAAAGTTTTTGAATATTTGTCGTGTGTTTTCTGTAATACACTCAGCAATGTTTTTGAAACTTTGTTGTGTATTTCAAAAATACACTCGGCAATCTTTTGGAACTTTGCAGTGTATCGTCTTAAACACTCAGCAAATATGATGTCACGATGGCACTCCATTAGCGTCGACCGGCCGTCAAGGGTGCTTTTTTGCAGAGAGATGCAGAAAGACACTAGGCAAAGACTTTGCCGAGTTCTGGGCTTTATAGACTCGGGAAATGTTCTTTGTCGACAATATTTTTACCGTGTCCTATTTGCCGAGTGTAACAGTCGGCAAAGTTTTTGCCGAGTTTTATTTTGGGTTTACAGATCGAGTCTTTTTGATACTCGGCTAAGGTGCCAAATCCGGTAGTGCATGATACATAAGGGTTTCTGCTAAGTATGTCAACACAAATAGGGAGACGGAGGTTGCACTGCAAACAGTGATGTAAAAGAAGCCAGCCATCTAGCCCTGGCTATGCGCCACCGTGCCGCCAGCATAGTGCCTAGCGCTATTTAGAGCACTGATTTTCAAAGATCAATTTGCAAAAAGGCATTGAAAGCTATCAATGAAAAAAAGTCTTCAATTATCATTCTAAATGCAGAGGCCGGGGTAATCCTCTTTTTCGAAAAAAGAAAAAAAACATTCTAGATGGAGAGACTTCACATGCACGAGTAAGATGGCAAATATAGCTTCCAACATGTTTGCCAGGTAGAGGAAAACCCACTATAGCAATACGTACCGTTACATGTGAAGCAAACAAATACACCACATCCATATCACAAGCAAATGTGAATAAAAATGCACCAGTTCCAAATAATTTTAGTTGATAATGACTTGATATATGAACACTGTCACTAGAAAATGTTGATGAGATTATTCAAACTGGAAAGTGTGAAAAATTGAAGCGAAGTGTTTCCCCTGGAGCATTTTAGATACAAAATATTGTCGAATCACCAAGGAAGTGAACATGCCTCTTCGCAACAGGTGAGAACCTACCTACGTTTTATTAAATTTGTGCGGATCCAATCTTAATTCTGAAGTACATCTCATCACAGGTTTATAATAGCAAAAAAAACCACACAACATTCTGTTGAACATTCAGTGTAATACCTGGTTTTACAACAAATTAGGCGTGTATTATCTCGAAAGCATCCGCAATAATCATGGCTTAAAATCTTTGAACACCTTAATTTGGATTAGTAGCCCATGATTAGTATTAGGATATCATATTTTTCGCAAACATTATCAGAAATGGCAAAAATAATTGCCTGTCTCTGAATCCTGGCTCTTGGTCTGTACATTCGATTTTAGTTTAGCAGAAAGAAGTATGAATGGATTATTGTGACCAAAATAAACTGTAGCACGAAATCTCTACCCGCCACACACTAGAGGAGGCAAAAAAATTGACTGGCAGAGCTAATTACACAAAACCAGACGGAAGGACGGGTTTGCTGTGACTCACACCATGGGACGGCGGCGCGGTCGACGATGTTCTCGAGCGTCTGGAAGATGAGCTTGCTGTCGACGAGGAAGCGCAGGTAGGCCTCAAGGTTAGGCTCCAGCTCGTTCAGTGACGGTCCCTCAAGCTCCTTCTCCCCTTCGCTGGCCTGGTCCTTGGTGTGCATCCGCATCGCCGCAGCCCTCATCTCCTCCACGAAGGTCTTACCGGCCCCTTCGTCCCCTCTCGCCGCTGCCGCCGCTGCGACCATCCTCCTCCGCTGGGAATGAATTTGCACAGAAATCCCCGGCACACGGCGCGCCCCCAACGACACTGACAGGCCGCTGCTGTTCATCCCAGCGGCGGAAACGGAGATAGATACGCACGGAGAGGAGGCAAGGGTTGCTGCTGCGAGCGCCATGCATGGAGTCGACGATGGCGAAAGGGAAGTGCGGGGGTTGGTGGCGAGATACTGCCGCGGGTGCCATGGGAGCGGCTTCACTTATAGCGCTTGGGTATCGTGCCAGCTGGGAAGGCGAGTCGACGTTGGAACCTGAGCACATGGAGGAGCACGACACAGATTCTTTGACTTGCAAGAGCAAAATCAGATAAGACTTTGGCGATTCTCAGCCATTAGATTTAACATCTGCGGTTCACGGGAACAAAACAGTACAATGACAGTGTTTTTCCACGGTGCTTTTGCTAGTACAATTTGTATCACAATGCACAGTGCACTCCAGTTTTAATCCCCGCATCTACACGTATCGCTCCCAGCCGCGAGGATTTCTCCTTGTTCGAAGGATTGAAAGGACGATCCCTTCGCCGGTATATATCCACGCATACTGTATTTGAATCCATCAGCGTTCCACCGTCCAGAGAGCATTGCGTTAATGGCGAGAGTAGAACAGCCTTCCAACCTATGGTGGAGAACTCTTGGAGAGGTATTGGGCAGCCCTAGACGGTCCTAGCTAGAACTTGCTTGTATGCCTTGTGCGTGAATACCATTCGCTGATAGTGTTTTTATCGGTAACACGACAGTGCGAGGAAAGAGTTAAGAACCTTAGATGCTGGCTTGGACTTAAACATTGTATTGTGCATGATAGTAAAGGCAAAGGAGCGGTATAGCATTGTTTTGGGATAAGGCATTGAAATAAAAATGCTCTCATATGGTGTGAGATACATCGATGTCACTATCCGTGATGATCCCCATCGTCCGAAGTGGCGGGGAACTTTTGTGTATGGGGAGCCTAGAAGTCAAGATAGACACTTTATGTGGAGTTTGCTAAGGAGGATTAAACCGAATGTTGGCATACCTTGGCTCATGATCAGTGACTTCAACGAATGTATGTGGCAACATAAGCATTTTTCTTCAGCTCGAAGATCAGAAAGTAAGATGGCAAATTTTAGCGAGCTTTTGTCTTAGTGTGATCATGATTTTTGTTGTGGAATGCTACCTAGCATAATCTCAATATGGCATGAATATTAAGACACGAGTGATTCAAGACAATAGTCTATCATATTTTACATAAAAACATCAATACTCAGGAATACCAACAAACAATCATGTCTTTCAAAATAGCAATGCTAAAGGACACTATCCCTACAAAATCATATAGCCTTGTCATGCTCCATCTTCTTAATACAAAGTATAAATCATGTACTACCCCGGTGTCAGCCAAGTAATTGGTTTGTACTTTTTAACGCGCTTTAGCTCTTTCAACTCTTACGTAATACATGAGCGCGAGCCATCAATATAACACTATGGGTGGTATAAAATGTGGTGTTAGAGGTTTATGTGGAGAAGACAAAAAGGAGAAAGTATCACATGGACTAGGTGGATCAATGGGCTATGAAGATTCCCGTCAATCGATATCAATACGAGGAGTAGGGATTGCCATGCAACGGATGCATCAAGAGCTATAAGTGTATGCAAATTCAAACTGAAAAACTAAGTGGGTGTGCATCCAACTTGTATGGTCATGAAGACCTCGAGCATTTGAGAAAGCCCATCATCGAAATATACAAGCCAAGTCTATAATGAAAAATTCCCACTAATTATATGAAAGTGACAATATAGGAGACTCTTTATATGAAAAACATTGTGCTACTTTGAAGCACACGTGTGGAAAATGATAGTAACATTGACCCTTCTCTCTTTTCTCTTTTTTTTCCTTTTTTTCCTTTTTCCCTTTTTCCGTTGGGCTCCTTTTGGCCTCTCTTTTATAGAACAGACTCATGGACTTCATCCCCACCTTAATTTGAGTACTCATTAGTCTCCACCATTCTTTTCCTCACTAGGGCAATGCTCTAATAATAATGATCATCACACTTTTATTTACTTACAACTCAATAAAACTAATACATGATGACTCTATATGAATGCATCTGGCAGTGTACCAGGATGTGCAATGATCTAGCGTAGCAAAGATATCATAAAAGAGACAAGCCATGAAAATATCATGCTAATTATCTTATGATCATGCAAAACAATATAACAATGAATGATCAATTCATGTATATGATGATGATGGAATTTGCATGACAATATATATCGGAATGGCTATAAAAATGCCATAAGGCCTTAAACAATGCAAGGTGCATAGGAGAGGTCCTTGAAGAAATAAACCAGGCTTTTCTTAAGCACTGGTGCTTATTTATATAGGGCGGACTCTTAATTAAACGTCTCTCCTATAGAAATAGGGACCAGTGCTTAAACAAAATCTGGTTTATTTTTCTAGCACTTCCCTAAGCACCTAGCATTGTACAAGGCCTAATAGATAGGTATGGTGGCTGTTTTGAGGAGGTTGCAAGGAGGGCTTATGCACCGGCAAAAGTTACGCGGTACTAGAGAGGCTAGCAATGGTGGAATGCCAAGAGTGTGTATAATCCATGGACTCATATTAGTCATAAAGAACTCACATACTTATTGCAAAAGTTTATCAGCCCTCGAAGCAATGTATTACTACACATGCTCCTTGATGGCAGGTTGGTAGGAGTTAACCATCGCGCGCACCCGACCTTCACGCAAAGCAAGACAATCAAGGTTAAATTGTGCTGCAATTTCATTGCATAACGGAAAATTATACGTGCATGCTTCAAAAATCACAAACCTTAACACCAATATTCTTAGTAAACCACAATCATTCAATATTACCTCCCACATATTACCATCTCTATATCGCAAAACTATTGCCAGGAATCAAACATATCATACTGAGTGATCTACAAGTTTTATGCAGAATTTTATGACTAACCATCTGAATGATCAATTTCTGTTGACTCTCTAAATAGATATAAATGAAGCATGAGAGTTTAATTCTTTCTACAAAAGACTTGGCCGCGCTCTAACAAATATAAGTGAAGCAAAAGAGCATTCTACAAATAACGGTTTTCTATGTAGAGAAACAGGCATCCAAACTTCAATTGATATAAGTGAAGCACATGAAGCATTCTATAAAGCCACACTCAAAAGATATAAGTGAAGTGCAAAGAGCATTCTATAAATCAACCAAGGACTATCTCATACCAGCATGGTGCATTATTAAAATAAAAATAAAAAGCACACGACGCTTCAAGAATTTACGCATATCATGTGAACAAAACAAAAACCGAGACATATTGATAATTGTTGTAGAAAGATGGGATGCCTTCCATCCGCAAGGTTAGCCCCTTGAGTCTCCTTGAATATTACTTGGGATGCCTTGGACATCCCCAAGCTTGAGGTCTTCACTTTAGTTATTCTTATCATATTGATACCTCCTCGATCTTCAAACACTTCATCCACACAAAACTTAACCAAACTTTTTATTAGAGGGGTTAGAACATATAACATCAAATCCCATCATGTCCTGCTGTAAGATATTTGTATAATTATAATCAAACATTACCCATTGTATTCTATCACAATTCTATGTCTCCCAAGTCAATGGGGCTCAACAAGATTTCAAACATACGCAAATAATAAACTATGACAACAATCTGCGAAAACAAGACGGTCTGTAAAGATGCAGATGGCATATATACTTTTCTAACTCAAAAGAAATCTAGAAAATAGGATAAAATAAACAATTTGCATAGTAGTATTGTGTAAAAAAATTATAATTTTTTGACATTCTAGTAAAAAAATGAAAAATCACGCACTACAACCAAACTTTATGTTTTCGCACCGCACACACCAAACAAGCAATCTAATCAACCTAAAGGTAAATCTTAGCACATTATTTTTATAATACAATGAATTTGTACAAGGAGATAATTATTTTTGCGAAAAACTTCCATGAAAAAACTCTACATTATTTCCATGAGCATGAACGCAACTATTCAAGGTCGACCCTCACTTCTCCAATGCATAACTTTCCAATCGCTTCTCTTTTATAAAACAAATTAGGTTCCCCTCTATAATTTTTTGTTTTTTAACTTTTCAAAAGCACTCGTAGAAATTAATGACTCTCTAAAACTTCCGGCTTGTCTTCCTGGCAGCACTTTTTTTAAAGCCATTAAGCTAGGCATAAAGTGCTCAAGTAGTTGATCCACTCGGATCCCAAGGTATATCAAAGTCAATTTTAACTAAAACAATGATTTTTAATTTAGTAGTGAGCACAAAGCAACATATGTCATGTAACAAGTATCCAACTCTGCTCTTATGCATTGCCGTGTCATAAAAGACCAATTTATGCACAGAAAGTAAAGGCCAATGCATAGTATTCAAAGTTTCTTGCAATTTTATCGTATTGAAAATATAGAGAGGCGCAGATATAGTTCCCCTCTCATAATAATTGCAAGTAGAGTAAGCAAGCACGTGCATATTATATTCATCAAAATCATCATGTGTAATAGTAAAACACAACCCATCAATATAATCCTTAATAAGAGCAAACTTCTCCGATATAGTATAGTTGGGAGAATTCACAAAGATAATAGGACTATCATGTGTGGGTGCAATAACAACAATTTCATTTTTAACATAAGGAACTAGAGCAAGTTCATCTCCATAAGCATCATTCATATTGGCATCATGGCCACAATCATAGCAAGCATCAAGATCATCAAAAAGGGATATTTCAGACGAATCAACGGGATCATAGCATTCATCATTCGGTAAGCATGAAGGAAAATTACACAATGTATGAGTTGAAGAGTTACTCTCATTGGAAGGTGGGCACAGGTAGCTAATTCACTCTTTCTTCCTTTGTTCTTCGCTCTCCTCCTCGTCTTTTTCATCTAAGGAGCTCACAGTGTCATCAATTTCTTCTTCCATTGATTCCTGCAAAATATTAGTCTCTTCTTAGACAGCGGAGACTTTCTCAATAAATGCATCAATATCGGCATTATATTTATAATTCTCATAAAAATATTTAAGTATAGATAAATTTTCAGGTCTGTAAACAACATCATCATAATTTTCATGCTCTCCAAATAAAG